TAAAATCATTATTCCTTTCTTAAAAACATATAAAATCGTATTATAACACGACAAAGATAAAGAATAAAATACAACATTAAAATTGAGATGTATCTCGTTGCATTACGCGAGTACCCTTTTAATTCATCTTTAACGGATTCTTCATTTTAGAAATCAAAATATCAATCATATTATTAAAATATTCATTATATTTAATAAAATATTGTTTATCTCTTTGACGTTTACTTTCAAATATTTTTAACGGTTGGAAATAATAAAATATTATTTATTACTCATAAATAATTATTTTAGTGAATTATTCATATTTGAAGATTTTTTTTTTTTTTTCTGTTGTCTCTCTTTTACTTTCTTCATTTTAAAGAAGGCTTTAGAAAATCTATTTAAAAAAAAAACCATAAATCTCCGTGGAGATGTTCTAAAAATATCCAAATTTAGAGAACACACAAAAAATGATTACAACAAGATAGAAGTATTATTTAATGTATTTTTTATCAATAAAAAACTTTAAAAGAAAATAATATTTTTATTAAATACAAGAAAATAATATTAATATCAATCAACTTTAAAACTTCATCCTCCTTAAAATGCTTATATACAAGATATATTCACATACCCAAATATAAATCACAAAAAACATTTAGGCCTTATTTGTTTATCTTTTAATAATTTCATTAAGAGGCAAAATTTGAATCGTTAAGAGGTAAATTTTGTTTGGCAAAAAGAAAGTCTGACTCTTTAATGATTCTAAAACCCTTTGAATGATTTTGTATCATGGGCCCCTCTTAACCATTAAGTGCCTAATTTTATCGTAAACAATTACCAAACAATTATATTTTATTTTGGACTATATCATGAGAACCTCTTAATTATTTTGATCTGTTAATTATTTTGTACCAAATTATTCAACAACTGTCAAACTAAAATATGCCGTAGTATAATTTTTATAAAAAAAGGAAAAATTCTTATCGTTAATATTTATCATCACAAGTTGGGTGCCCAACTCAAGAACCGAACCACCCAGAAAAAAACACACATTCCATTCCGGTAAAATTTTAATTTGCGCCAATCGCCACAACCATCCTGCACATGTTACATATATAATCACCATCTTCGTTCATATCAATCCTACTTTTCTTCACTATACTCGTTGCTGCTGTTATCAATCCTTTTCATCTCATTTCTCCTCTTAAGGTAAACTTTATTTATCCCTTTTATTTCCATGCTTTTGTTCAGATTTATCAGTGATTTGATGTACTTTTTTTGTTTCAGTGCCATTAATTTGACATACATCTATTGAATTTTTTTAGGATTAGTTGGAATTGTACCACGAGAACTGATTCATATGTACATAAAGTAGATCCCTGGATGATAGCATCAACTTTCCGTGACGATGGATATGTCTGTCTTTTAATTCTGTCTTGGTGTCAAGTTTTCGTAAACTGGTTCTACGGCGTTTTGTAGTAGATGATCATGTTTTATGTTGTATATGGTCATTTGATTCGGTTTTTAATCGAAGGGCACCCTTTTTTTTTCTTTTCGTTTTGAAAATATAAGAGTAAAGTTGTGCATGATTTTGGTGTTGTGATTAAACGACAGGTATTCAGATTAAGACATTCCGGTAGCTTAAAGAGACTGTTTTTTATATCACTTTTCAGTGGCAAATGGTTATAGAAGAAGTGCTTAAAGTTGCTTGTATGGTTTAATTCTTGGAGCAAACAAATTATGTAACATTATTTGCTTTTTGCATAAATTTTTGCTGACATGGTGTTTAAATTTTGAAAATTGGTTGCAGCTGAATTTGCTCAAGATTTGTACCAAGTTTTATGGGGGAAAATATTGTTTGGCCCGTAACTCTACTACCAATATTCTATATTGCCATCCTTTCTTATGGCAATGGCTTTATGTACATATAACTTGATCATTTATGCCATCTAATTGTTTGTTCTTTGATCTGCTTCAAAGGCTTTACTTAACTTTGTCCCTCTTGTAGCTGCAACAATCTATCTAACAAACATGATGAACATTGGGAGAAGAGGAATTCATTATTTACACACATTAAACAGTGTTCCTAAGAATTTGATAGAGGAGGGCCAAAATAGAGTCGTGGAGGCATCTCTTACTCTCATTCGTGAGAGGGCAAAACTTAAGGTATATCCTGATTGCATTATGCATATGTTGCCATCCAGTCATTCACTTGTTTGTTTGATAGCCATCCTTTACGTGAATGTCATACTAAATTCAGCAGGGACTTGTATCTGCATACTTAAGATTCTGAGTAAGAGTCTGATTTTAGTTTCTATTATCCACTTGAGAGTTGCTTTAATGGTTACTTCAAACATACCTTTACACTGACCGTAATGCTATTGACCTTTAACACTTACTAGATGGAGATGGCTGTAGTCAGTTAAGAAATTACTAGATAAAATGAGTCTTCATTACAGTGAGAATTACATGAAGCATTTTTCACCTGGTGCTCCATCTTTTATGGTTAAGACACATCTTAGTAGATATTGTTGCTTTGAGATGAGCTCGTTTCACCCCATGTGGGTCTTGAACAAAAGTTTCAGGAAGAATCTAAAGAACTTAATCAGATATCTTTTCTGTAAATATATAATTTCGATACCCTGTTACGAACAAGAAAATCACTTTGCACTTGCTTTTGTAGTTTAAGGCATTTTATTTTGAAGTTTATGATGATGTTTATTGGTGGGTTGTAAGAATGTTCTTTCCCTTTGTTGTTGACTTATAAACATTCTTGCTTCATATCGACTATACATTGATGTCCTGGAGCCCCATGGTCCATTTAACCCTTCTATCATTGCCGAATTTCACGCATGTACTATGACAGATCCAACTTTTAGAGTTATATGGTTATCCAGCTCCCTAAGTAATTTGTTTACTGAATTGATGTTGATTAAAATAGTTTAATGAAAAAAATAAGAACATTAAATCAGGATACACAACACTTCATGCAATAGAAAGGTGAGGCTGATCATTCTTAGTGCTCTTATACTACAAACTAATTCTTTGTGAGCTGAGAGTTAACTTTCTTTAGGTATTGTACATTACACTTAAACAAATTTTAGACACCATAATTACTCTTTTGGTTCTATTTATTGTATAAAGAGAGTTTTGACGATGAGCATTTGCTATATATTTTTCCAAGGGAGAGCTAGTCCGGGCGTTGGGTGGTGCTAAAGCTTCATCGTCTCTTCTTGGAGTTCCTCTTGGACATAATTCGTCATTTCTCCAGGGTCCAGCATTTGCTCCGCCTAGAATACGAGAGGCCATCTGGTGTGGAAGCACAAATGCTACTACAGAGGAAGGTAAGCATGTAGTTTTTGGTGCTTATTTAATTTCTCAGGTACATGACAGATGATCTTTCATGTGTGTGGTGTTTCTTTCTTCCTTTTTGTTTGAGGTAAATAAAGTACAAATCTATTTCTTTTTCATATTGCTTTCGTTCTCTTCTGATAGTTGTTTACCTTATCATGGGCGCACAATCTTCATGCCTAGATGAAGGGGCATAAAGATTAATTTATTGATCTTAGAGGAACCCGTATGTCCTGTAGGATGTTTAAACTGAACTTACACACCCAACCAGACCCCCCCCCTTCATGTGGTGGTAGCCTTATTACTTCAGTTTACTGTGTTATGAATTGTTGCAGGACTAGAGATTGCTTAAATAATTTTCATTAAGCCCTGTTATGTAAATTATAACACTGATCATTCTTCAGACTTATGGGTTCTTGATGGCTTGTTTATGTAGGTGCATAGGTGATTGTGCTCATTATTTGGACCTAGAGGCTACCAGACACAACTTTTAGAATTGTAGATTGGATATTATACAAAAGTTTTGATTTATATAGACTGAGTTTACTTTCAGGCTTGAAATTTTTCCTTGCTACTAGGAGGCATGCAGTATAGTTCTTAAATCTTAAATGGAGCTGACATTTTTACTCCTTACTATTTTTGCTGCAGTATGTTTGTTATGTGTTCAAAGACATAATTTGATCATGTTGTACACTGCAGGTAAAGAGCTGAATGATCCTAGAGTCTTAACAGATGTTGGTGATGTTCCTGTTCAAGAACTTCGAGACTGTGGAATAGATGATGACAGATTGATGAATATTATCAGTGAGTCTGTCAAACTAGTGATTGAAGAAGTAAGTAACCTTAGTTTTAGAAGAAAAAACCAACTAACATGTTGGGTAGCAATTGAGTTCGCTGATTCTGACACGCACTGTTACTATATGAATGATGCGAATCAAGGGCGTTGGGGGCGAGTGTATAGGCGTAAGACTGGAAAACAGGAAGTCCAGGGGGTTTGAGGTCTTTTTTTTCAATAGTTGGTATCTATTTTTGGTCCTTTACTTTAATTTTGGTAAAAAACGTTTTCTTTGGGTGGGGATCAACATAAATATAGCCGATTACCCTTAGGGTTGGGCAGTTTTTGTTTTACGCTTTTCGGTGTTTTCTTTGGAGATTGCCTTGGGTCTCGAATTCCAGTTAAGTAAGAAGTATCGGGTAGAATTGCCCTGTTCCGTATCGTTTTTTTTTGTTTGATACATATCAATGAACTCCTAAAAATTTGTTTAGTTCTTGTAGTTCTAAGCACCATAACTTTATTATGTAAATTGTAAGTTACTGATTTTTGTTGTGGACATTCCCATGAGAAGTTCTCTTGGTGACCTAGGACCGATTAAGTTCCAACCCAGTTCTCTATATTGTGTGAAGAGAAGGTAATCTTGTTGATATAATTTGTCATGCTCTTTAGCATGCTTTTCAGTTGTATTGCATTTTCTAAACTTTAAACATTTCATCACTCAAATCTCGAATCTTATTCAGCAAGTGTAAATAGAAGAAGCAGCAGTTTGACAGCTGAGATTCTGTAACATGTAGATACTACTGTAGGAGCAGAATCTATTGCCATTTGGCCACTTAACATGGGGCAGTACCTCATTCAGTCCGTTGAATGATTACCAATTATAACTTCTGAATTATGTCTTTGAAAAAGTTCTCTCTGACTCTGTCAATGAGCATGCTTCTAAGTTTTGTTTCAAGCAAAGAGCCTAAGCAATATGGTCTCTTTTACAGGATCCATTGCGCCCTTTAGTTTTAGGGGGTGACCATTCAATATCATATCCTGTAGTAAGAGCCGTGTCCGAGAAGCTTGGAGGACCTGTGGATGTCCTTCACCTTGATGCACATCCTGATATCTATGATTGCTTTGAAGGAAACAAGTATTCACATGCATCTTCTTTTGCCCGAATTATGGAGGGTGGTTATGCTCGGCGGCTCTTGCAGGTGCTACTTTTTCCCTATGCATTTTCCCTGTATTTTCTTTAACTTTGTTGTTAATGTGAAAGGGTGATACCTAACCAACATGAAATAATCAAGAACAGAAAGTAATCACATGCTTATTCATTATGTATGCCAGTTCATATGACATTTTTTCCCTTATTTCTAGTAAGTTAATTTCAGCAATGAATGTGACATTTCTCAATCATTATCATGTCTTTCTTCAGGATGGATTGTACGCTATTTGGATGATGCTACTTCTAAATAGAGTTTATCGATTTTCCTTTCCTTCTTCAGGTTGGCATTCGATCAATAACAAGTGAAGGACGTGAACAAGGGAAAAGATTTGGAGTTGAGCAATATGAAATGCGCACATTTTCAAAAGATCGCCACTTTTTGGAGAATCTGGTCTCTTTCTCTCCCATCTCATGTGTGTGTTTTTGTAGCTGTCACTGTGTATCCACGTACCTTCAATAGACATCGTACTTTTTCAATGATTCTGCAGAAACACTCTCAAGTTTTAAATAAAATGTTGCAACAACCACCCAATAGTCTGCACTGCCTTAACAGACCATCCAACTTCCATTACATTTAGAAGGTTCTAACTGTACCTTCCTTATGTTGGTAGTCTGGAAGCCACAATTTGGTTAAGGAAGTACAAAGATCATGTTTATTTGGTTAGGGGTGAACCTTGGAGCAACTGGTAAGGTTACTCCTATGTGAATAGAAGGTTGCATGATCAAGTCATGGAAGTAATCCATTTGTAAATGCAAGGGTAAGATTCATCACGACTAACCTCTCCAACCTTCGCAATGCCAACGAACCTTGTGCACCAGGGTCAACTCTCAAATAATACATTAGAATTTGAGCTTCAAATTCTACTATTCTGCATTTTCACCATCATTTAGGCTTTTCCATTTTTGTTATTGTCTCCTATTCTTAGTTCTTTCTTTCAAAAACTCGTCCTGATTCACTATCTTTGTCTAAGTTCTTCACTTTTCAAATTCTTCAAACATTTTGACAAATTTTCTAAAGCACTCGGGTCTTCTTCAAAACCTTTTCGCAAGTTAGGGGTCTTCAAGGAAACGACCCCTCTACACTTTGGGGAAGAGAAAAGGTATGTATACATCCCACTCCCATACCCAACTTCCGAGTAAGATATACTGGGTTCGTTTGGTTTGGTTTGGTTTTATTTGAGTTTCAGATTCTCGCCTCTCTTATTAGCTCTGCCAGAACTCGGCAATTGTCATGTTAGCACCTAATATCATATTCCAAAAGATGAATTTGGAAGTTTGACTTTTTAATGTGAGGGTAAGAAGCGGACAAGCTAATAAGAAGAGCATAAGTTACACACACTTTTGCACATAATAATCACCTCACTCAGAGTTGAATATTGTTTTTATTCCAGAAACTTGGAGACAGCGTTAAGGGAGTGTATATTTCGATAGATGTGGACTGTCTTGATCCTGCATTTGCTCCTGGTGTTTCGCATATTGAAGCGGGAGGTCTCTCGTTTCGTGATGTTCTCAACATCCTCCACAATCTTCAAGCTGATGTTGTTGCTGCAGATGTGGTCGAGTTCAATCCACAACGTGATACTGTCGATGGGATGACTGCCATGGTTGCCGCTAAATTAGTAAGAGAGTTGACTGCAAAAATTTCAAAATGAATACTCCCACAAGCCGTGAATCCAATATCTGGCAGTCGAGTTTCTTTGGTCTATCATTAAATAGATTCACCAGATCTTCTATAGTCAAGATTATGTTCAATAAATCGAATGTAGCTTGATCCGAATTATTCCGTTTGTCTATTGCTTGTTTGAGATATATCTGAAGAACTTGGGTTGATCGGTATAGTGCAAACCATCTTTGTAATTTTAATTTTACTTTGTTATTTAAGGGGATTTTGAGGGAGCTTTGAGCTACTCTAAGACACACATATAAGTCAAAGAAACAACCTCTTTGCAAAATACAAAAAATAATAAAGTTTTTCCTCCTCAACCCTCGGAAAGCCAAGAAATCTTGGTGCACCAGGGCCGTTAAGGGGATTCTGAATCGATCACTTCACTGCACATATTATATGGGTTAATGTTAGAAGTTAAATTTGATCAAAGATATAATTTAGGTTGTTATATTTCTATCTCTTTGTTTCTTATTTCAGCTGGAATCATGGCCATTAGCTTCATTGTGTCATTTAATTAATTTCCCGTGCTTCATCTCTTCTCTCTACCACTATATTCTTATACCTCTTAGCGCAGGAAACAAACAACACAAGATTGATCGCAGTCAACGCTGCACAAAGGTAGAAAAACCTATCCAGATGCCCGTCATTCAAGTTCGCTGGGACCCACCCGGGCTTCCCATCTTTTGAGGTAATCTTCATTACCACTGACAATATAATGCTGCTAGTATAACTCCCCATTGCCGAAGAACACATAGACAATCCAAGCCCAATACTCTTCAACTTATCCGGAACTTGTGCTGCAAAGAATTCCCATTGAGCCACATAAGTAAAAGCTTCGGCTATTCCCACCAACACATATTGTGGGGTTTGCCAGAATATACTCAAAGAGCTCGTCTCTTTTGGGCCTTTGCTTGCATATTTTAGCCTATGATGTTCCACTACACCTGCTGTGATTATTGCCACTGTCGCTATAGCAAGCCCGATCCCCATTCTTTGTAGCTCGCTAGGAGGGTTTGGTTTTTTCTTTGTTATTTTGACATATAGAGGGAGAATGAGCTTGTCGTAGCAAATAATGAATGCCGATGTGCTTATTATGTCAAAAATAGTCATGCTTGCTGGTGGGATGTGGAAGTTTGAGATTCCTCTGTCCATAGCAGCACCTTGCTCCACAAAAAGCGAAATCATCTGAATGAATACAACGGATGATAATATGGTACATAACCATATAGGGAGCAGTCTTAGTACACATTTTACTTCTTCAACTTGAGTGACCGTACATAATCGCCACGGATGTGGATTTTGGCCATCATCTGGGGTCATGATAGATGCACGATCAAGAAACCTGTAAAACAGAAGTCTTTAGTACACGTTTTTGCTTTGAGGATCGTGCTTTTTGTTATAGGTGTGTTTCCTGATGTTAGTTAGATGCAACTATTCATGCAAATGTAGGCCTGATAAAAGACTGCTAGCCTATTATTCCCTCCATCCCAGAATAAAAATCCACGATAGAATAGGTACACAATTCTAGAAATGAGTAATTATTACACTTTTTAATTGATTAAATGACATTTTGTTCCCTTAATAATAGATGGAGTAATGAATCTTCCATCTCATAATTAAGGGTAGAATTGTAGAGTAGGCACTTACTTTTGAAAGTGAACACTTGATTTTGGACAAACGGTAGTGGACACTTTTTTGGGACCGAGTATTTCCTCCGAGGTTATAGGCATGTATTTTGCATTGTATAAGAGCCTCTATCACAGATTCTCCAAAATGGAGAAAACGGAGATCTTGGAGATTTTATGTTAACTTTTTGCTTGAACAGATTCTCCAAAATGGGGAAGTAGGAGAAAGATGATAAAATTCTTCATATTAAGAGAATTCCCTAAAATTAAATGTTAGGAGGTACTATTCCTACCAATAAGACTTTGAAACTAAATGTTTAGCAGTAAGAAATAATTTTTATTAAATGTATTGAATATATTAATAATTTACTTTTGGAGCTGCAGTTGGAGTTGAATGTAATTTTTTTTGGAGATTTTGACTTCTGATTCTCCATTTCGGAGAAAATTCAGAGAATTTGTTGGAGATGCTCTCTAAGGCTTGTTTGGTGCTCTTAAATGTGGATTTTTGTCCTGTGTTTCTTCTCCCTAGTTTACTATAGCTTAAGAAACGGGCGCCTCTGGTGTAGTTCCTCGGCTTTGTTAGGGTTAAAAGAGTAGTTGCAAGGAGTTACATTACGATTTTGCCCCTTCAGGAGCAAAAAAGCAAGGCTGCACCCAAAGGGAGGGAAGTCTCTGTACACACTTCTCCTTGCAGTTTGCAAGAAGGTGAGTAAGTTTACCATTTTGTCTCTTCACTATAACTTAACACATGGACACCCTATCTGCAGCCAAGGTGAGGAAGATAAGTCAATGAACACTGCATTCTCCTTGCATTTTGCAAGAAGCTGCAGGGAACAAGATTACCATTTTGCCCCTGCGCTATACCTTTAACAGAAGTATAGATAGAGACAGTCTGCATATATCCTACCCCCGGACCCTACCTCTGTATGGGATTCATCGGGTCCGTTCATAGATAAGATCGGAACTTACTTGAAGTCGTTTGTGTGAATTATCCTCCTTGTTCCTCCTTCATCTCTTGAATAATCTTCATAGAGACCATCTCCATTAGAAGGCACCTGAAGCTTAATCTTCTTCACAGAAGCCACAATAACTTGAGAGAATCTAGATATAGGATTACCAGAAGGCTTGAATTGCCGGTATCTGAAGCTCCCACTCACTAACGACATCAATGCAATAAAACTGCATAGAGTCGATATCCAGAATGCCACCACATATAGTCCCATGGTTTCAATATAAACTAATAGCGTCTCTGAGATCAAAGATCCGAGATTTAAGGCAACATAGAAGTAGCTCAAGAAGGTGGTTTTCGCTTGTTTTTCTTGAGGATCTTCTTCATCAAACTGATCAGCCCCAAATGTAGCAAGTGCAGGCTCGGCACCACCATTTCCTAGGGCAATCAAGTAGATTGATACATAGAAGATTGCAATTTCAAGTGGTGAATGAGCATTGCACAATTCTCCTATTCTACCACAACCTTTGGGTTGTAACATAAATGCTTGAGTTGTCAGTGATAATGCAACCAAACCCTGTGAAAAGAAGATGCTTTTTCAAGTCAGAAAACAAGTTTTTGAGTTTGGTAAGCTGCATACATCAAGTAGCTATTCATGGAAGTCATATAAGTTGGTTGAATTGAGACATAAGTTGGAGAATTTTGGAAGAATCAAGTTCCCTTGCTTTGGTGGTCAAACTTCTTACAGTATCGGTTTTGACATAATTGACGATTTACGTTCTTAAGCATCGCAACCCGTATATAGATAATAGCTAAGAACTTTAGAATTGTAAGAATATGTGGAGAGAAAAGAAGGTTCCTGTTTCTGACATGTATTGCGGAGCAATTTGCCGATGGAGGCTAGACAGTCAAAGATGTCTCAAGAGTATCGAATCTTAGGAAAAGATGTGCAGAATGATAAATCTTGGCTCTGTACCATGTAAGAATATGTGGAACCACATAAGATTACTCTTTAAAAGAGCTCTTGAGGAGAGAAGGGATTCAAGTCTAGCTGATGTGGGACTCAAACAAGAATAAACCCTTAGGATAGCTGAACTTTTAAAACTTCGGTTTGTTTCCCTTGTCACCATTTTGGGTCCTTCCAAGGCCACTGAATAGACCTCTAGGATCCCATGGGATTAGTCGAGGTACGTGCAAACTACTGGTATAATTACAAAAAGTTTAATAGAAATTGAGTAAAAGGGTTGACTTACAATGGTCAATACAACTTGAAAAATGACACAAGTGAGGTATCTTCCCAAATAGGAGTCACTCAAGAAAGCACCCAAAAGAGAGAACAAGTAAACACTCCCCATCCAATTGCTAAACATGTTGGCTGATTCTGCATTTGATTGCCTCAAAACAGACTTTGAAAACAAAACCATATTCACTTCCACTCCTGTGAATGCAAGTGTTGCTAATCCTTCATTCACTGCATCAACCAACACAAAATCATAAGTTCGAGTTCCTTATTCGATCGAAAAGACACGTGCGAAAACGGTCATACCGAGCAAGAGCATGCCGGATTTCCATCCTCCGGTTTTTCTCTTCACGGCCGGTTTCCCATGCCAATCCAATGACCCGTCTCTAGTGCACTCATCTAGAAGCCTAGTCTTGACGTTCTGCATAGTGTACTGTATGAAAAATATAAACAGGACTACTGAAACAGGTTAAGAAATTTATGCTGGAATTTGGGTGTATGATAATTTAAAATAATGAATAGGAGGCAAATATGATTGTTTACATTTGAGGAGAACTACAATGGCATCATTTATGTTCTTGATGTGAATAATTGTGTTTGATTACTTTTGAAAGCCTTCGATCCTTTATTCATTTTCTTTTAGTTTATATATATATATATATATATATATATATATATATATATCTTATGATCAAGAAACAATGATGATGGTGTTGGTTGAAAGTAAAAATTCTTTTCTGGTGTGAAGTTCCAGAAATAATTCCAATTCACTTTTCCTAACCCTGCTTTTCATCATCTTTTTCTTGGGTCAAATTCATTTGACAATTGAAGTATTTTCAACGCAATTTCTTGACAAATAAAAAGCTAATATTTTAAAAGTAATATAATATCATAATAAATCTTATATGAAATAAAAATACAGTCAACTTTATTCGTACCAGTAATAAAACAACATTTTCTCCTTTTTCGGTATTACATTTTAAACCAATCAAAATATTTATAACAACAGATAAATAAAGAATCTGTTGGAGATGCTCTACTTGTTCTCCAACAAATAATAGGAGAAGATTTAAAAGATCTTTAGCTGCTTTTGTTTTGCTCCAACATATTTCAAAATCAAAACTTTTGTTTTTGTTATTTAGAGAAATTATAAAGAATCTATTGAAGATACTCTTAATTGCAACATATAAATGACATTAATTATTTTTAAAATATAAAATTTGAAAATTAACTTTTTTATATGTTTGTTTACATATATATATATATATATATATATAGACTTGGGATCATGTGAGACAAAGGGTTTTTCGTGAGATCCGTAAGACCAATTCTCAACCCTTGGATTAGATCTACAATCTGAACATTCATAATCACAACATTGCCACGAGATTTCTCAATAATCACAAAATTGTCACCGAGCAACTTTAGACCATTAGATCATTAACTTATAAAGTTGATCTATAAACATAAATTGGTCTTACGGGTTTCACGAAAAACCTTTGGTCTCACGTGAACCCAACCATATATATATATATATATATATATATATATATATATGTGTGTGTGAGTGGAAAATGTAAAAATGAGGGTTATGTATTTAGAAGTTTAATAGTAATTGATCTTTAAAAAATGGATGTGAAAGTGAAGGTGATGATACATGGTTTGAAAATATATGCACCACTTGGATTTTATAAATTTATAATCAATCAAATCTTAAGCCATCTTTTTAGGATATAATCTTTAAAAGTGTTTTCAAATAATTAGAATTATTATTATGTTTCCATTTTGGATTTTTAATATCATTCAAGACTTGCAAACCCTCATCATGTTTCATGTTTTACACTAAATTATATTAAATTAAATAATACCTTCTCAAGGAAAATAACACTTAGTTTTATGAATACTATAAGGGTACTTATACAATACATCGAGACACATTTCCATTTCAATGTTTTGTTTTGTTTTGTTTTTTATACATGTCGATATAATACGATTTTATGTGATTTTGAGAAAACGATAATGCTTTTATTTTTGAATAAAATATAAATTTAAAAATATCATATAAAATTTACAAAAAATATATCAATATTAGTATCAAATCAACTATTTAAAAGTTCTTATTTGTATATCTTTTTTTTTTAATTCA